AAACAGGTGATCTAATTTAGTGTGCAAGGTAATAGTTTAGGTAATCAAATGCCATGATATACGGCTGTCACGGCACGAAAACAGGTGATCTAATTTAGTGTGCAAGGTAATAGTTTAGGTAATCAAATGCCATGATATACAGCTGTCACGGCACGAAAACAGGTGATCTAATTTAGTGTGCAAGGTAATAGTTTAGGTAATCAAATGCCATGATATACGGCTGTCACGGCACTGGACAGAATTTTGCCAATTTGCATTCAAGTGTTTATTTCAGATTCAGATTTTCTTATTCTGTCTTAATGGGATTCCTGTGTTTTACTAATGTCATACCTCAAGGGTCTGCATCAAGTTGGGTTTAATAGTCTCTTTCATKAGGACAGTCAAGGCTCCTCCAATACCCTGTAGATAATAWTCSACAATKGAACAACWCTTTAGTRCTTGTYTTGGCACAGGGAGCCCAATTCAGGTAAGAGTGAAAAATGATAATAAATTGAATCGTTATCTGAGCCTCAAATACRAATAAATCTTTTTTACTTTTATCAAAAATTGGGTTCCCTGTGGCCTTGGTTGATATTCAGAATGGATGTAGACAAGAGCTTGACGCTAATAATTACCAAATCATCAGCAGTAATGGGATCTCCTTCCTTGTTGCTTGCGACTACAATATCACCMAGCCTGAATAAATAATAYGATTGGTCTGTTAGCAGCATTGGTGGCCTWGCCACATGTGGCTCACCAAAAATGCATCAAAWACCTTGTGTTCACCCTGGTCTAGTGTTTTTATACCGTCCACACTAAAACAATATAAAACGCAGCAGATTCGATCTGAAGGATTCAACATTGTCATCGGTGCATTTGAAAAACAGACATGGCAGTGTGAATGAAATCAGCATTTGCAAAAGGCTTTGTTTTCAGTGTCGACACTTATAAAGGCACAGTAGGCCTCCACTGTAACTGCCCTGTGTAGGCAGAGAACATGGTGTATCATTAACACAATGTTTACTAACCTTTTTCTCATGTCTTTGATATCAGTTGTTAGAGCCAGAATAGCCATGATCTCGCTGGCAACTGTTATATCAAACTGGGTCTAAAAACAAAACAGCATGTKAAAGCCAATTTATATCCACTTTGAGACTGAGGAAAAAACGGGGTTGAGTTGGCATTAGTGTAGTATTAGTAAATGAACCAGTAAATAACACTCATCGTGAGTCTTTCCTGTCACTAGTGCAGTGGTTAGAACATCCGACTTGTATCCAGATTTTCCCTGAGATGATTGATATTTCTATACTACTTTCCTAGCTTATAAGCATTTGTGTTAAAGAGGTCTTCATATTATAAAGGTATGTGTCTGTTGTTTACCTCTCTGGTCATATTCTTCTCTGTTGGTGACTGTCCTATAGTGATCTTCCTCAAGAATCGGTCATTGGTGTCCATAACTGAAATTGTAAAAAAGATAGTGACTAACTGTTGAAAATGCACTCTCTTATTAATACACTCCA